GGCACCAAGAGGATCCCAGGGCTGGAGCAGCTCTGCTGGGAGGAAAGGCTGGCACAGCTGGGATTGTTCAGCTGCACAAGAGAAGCTTTGGGGGGACCTGAGTGTGGCCTTGCAGGGCCTGAAGGGGCTCCAGGAAAGATGGAGAGAGACTATTCCCAAGGGCTGGAGGGACAGGACAAGGGGGAATGGGTTTAAACTGACAGAGAGTAGGGTTAGGTGGGATATTGGGAAGGAATTGCTGGCTGGGAGGGTGGGCAGGCCCTGGCACAGGTTGGGCAGAGAAGCTGTGGCTGCCCCTGGATCCCTGGAAGTGTCCCAGGCCAGGTTGGACGGGGCTTGGAGCACCCTGTGCTGGTGGAAGGTGTCCCTGCCCATGGCAGGGGTGGCACTGGGTGGGTTTTAAGTTCCCTCCCAGCCCAAGTAATTCCACGATTCCAGGGTGATACTGTGACTGTTCTGTTACTGCCACAGCCAACTCTTGAGTTACACCGGGGGTTTGCAGCTCTTACATATTTTGAGACACTGTTGGCTCCTGACCTGAACAGAGGAGAGAAACTCTGATCAAAACCAGCCACTGTGGGGGTTTGGTCCCCCAGAGGGTGGTTGGCACTGCCCAGGCTCCCCAGGGCAGTGGGCACGGCCCCAAGGCTGCCAGAGCTCCAGGAGCGTTTGGGCAACGCTCTGAGGGACAGGGGGGAGTGTTGGGGTGTCCTGGGCAGGGCCAGGGATTGGACTGGATGATTCTTGGGGGGTCCTCCCAGCTCAGGATATTCCAGGATTTTATGGTCATCTTTGTTGCATCCAGGCCTTGATGACCTGGCAAAGGGAGCAGAGTGAGGGGCCTGAAAATTTCCATAGGAAACCTTCCTGTGGAATTGTTCTACATAAATACGTTCCCACATTTGTGGATTGGTTTGGAACTGTTCAGTGTTGTTGATTGCAATATGCTGTGGGGTTTTTTGTTCTATTTTCTGCAAAGGAATCGAGGAGAACTTGTAGAAAACTGCATTTTGTGTTAGTTAGATCAGAAATAGCAAAACTTCAGGGATTCCCTTGGAGCTCACTGCTCCCAAGTCTGCTGTGCTGTGCCAGACTTTAAGCAGCTGTTTAAAACCCATGCTTGATTTTTGCATTAGAAGTGAAACAAATTTTTTTAACCTCATCACCAAGAAACCCTTTTGAACACCTGGAGGTGTCCAAGGGCAGCTCGGAGCAACCTGGGCTGGTGGAAGGTGTCCCTGCCCATGGCAGGGGGTGGAACTGGATGGGCTTTAATGTCCCTTCCAACCCAAACCCTTCTGGGATTCTGTGATTTTGGCTCGGGAGAAAAAGAAAATAGAAGGCAAAAAGGCTTCTAGGTCTGTACTGCACTGCAGGGAGTGAGTGCCGGGGAGCAGATGGGTTGTTTGAAGTAAAAGTGGCATTTGCAGGGGGTGTTTCTTAACTCTCTTGCCTTACTGTGTCTGCAGGTGGATGAAAGCCAGACTGGAGAGCCAGGGTGGCTCGGGGGAGAACTGAAGGGCAAGACTGGCTGGTTCCCTGCCAACTACGCCGAGAGGATCCCCGACAGCGAAGTGCCCGGCGCGGCCCGGCCGGCGGGGGAGGCTGCGGCCCCCAAGGTGTCCGTGCAGGACAGCAGCACCCCCCTGGCAGCTCCTGCCCCCCCCGAGGCTCCTGCCACCGCCAACAACTGGGCAGACTTCAGCTCCACGTAGGTGTGGGGGGCGAGGAGCACTCCTGACCCGTGGGAGGCCTCTGGGACGGGTGTGGCGGGGGTGGCACCGAGCAGGGAGCCAGGCTGGCCAGGCTGCCAGGGAACACACCTTCTGGGAAGGAGCTTCTCTGGAGTTCATTGTCAAAATCACTGCCTTGTGGGATTCCAGGCTGCCAGGGAACACACCTTCTGGGAAGGAGCTTCTCTGGAGGGAATTGTCAAAATCACTGCCTTGTGGGATTCCAGGCTGCCCCCAGCAGACCTGCTGAGCAGTGCCCAGGGCACAGCACACACAGGAGACAGGCCCAAGCGAGGATGTGGCACGGTGGAAATGCCATGGTGTTCACTCCCCTCAGCACTGCGGAGTCCCAGACTGGGCTGGGTGGGAAGGGACTGTAAAGCCCACCCAGTGCCACCCCTGCCATGGGCAGGGACACCTTCCACCAGCCCAGGTTGCTCCCAGCCCTGTCCAACTTGGCCTTGGACACTTCCAGGGATCCAGGGGCAGCCACAGCTTCTCTGCCCAACCTGTGCCAGGGCCTGCCCACCCTCCCAGGGAACAGTTTCTTCCCTGTGTCCAACCTAAGTTTCCCTTCTTTCAGCTTGAGCCCATTGATCCTTGTCCTGTCACTGCAGTTCCTGATGAACAGTCCTTCTCTGACTTCCTTGTAGGCCCCTTCAGGCACAGGAAGGAACCTCCTGAATCTCCTTCTCCTACATCAGTTCCCACCAATCTTTATTGAAGGTTCCCAACTCGGATTATGCAAAACACAGAGATAACATGAAAAGATGATTTGTTAATTCCTGATGACAACATTAACAAGACTGATGGAAGTAGAACACGTGCCCTTCCCTACATATCTTAACTCAGTGCTCTGGGTGGTGTCACCAACTGCAATTGCCTTCTCTTTTGAACTTGTATCCATATTTATAACTTAAAATATAAATATGAGGCCCCTGGCACAGGTTGGGCAGAGAAACTGTGTCTGCCCCTGGATCCCTGGAAGTGCCCAAGGCCAGGTTGGAGCAACTTGTGCTGGTGGAAGGTGTCCCTGCCCATAGCAGGGGTGGGATGGGATGACTTTTAAGATTCTTTCCAACCCAAACCATTCTGGGATTCTGTGTCTAAGTGAAAGGGGTGTATGAGGTCAGTGCCAGGCTGGTGGGAAAGTTTTGGAAAGAATGAAGAATTATTTTAATGATTTAATTATTTTCGTTTCTCTTCCCACTGTGTGTAACACAGCCCGCACTGCCTGAACTTCTGGTGTGTTGGGAGCAGCTGAAAAACAAAAGTAAAAACCTGGCCTTAAGTAGCAAGGACAAGCAAATGGCTTTGGATTTGCCTTTGAAGATAAATTCCTGGTTAGCCCAGGTTTGATGGCAGTGTTGCAGTCCTGGTGCTCAGGGATTAGTCAGTTAAAACAAATCAACGGGGAATGGAGACATTTCTGTTCTACAGGAGTGTTTTTCTCCAGCTGAAAGCAGAAGGAGTTCCACCATCCTCTGTTTTCCAGGTGGCCAAGCAACCCCAGTGAGAAGGCCGAGAGTGACAACTGGGACGCCTGGGCAGCCCAGCCCTCCCTGACGGTGCCCAGCGCGGGGCAGCTGCGCCAGCGCTCGGCGTTCACCCCCGCCACCGTCACCGGCTCCTCCCCGTCCCCTGTGCTGGGCCAGGTGAGCTCTGCAGCCTCTGCAGCTGCTGGGAAGGGTCTGCAAAGCAAAGGGGGAACCTTGGCCGTGCATTAAACCTGGCACCTGAGGGGGGGTGAGCCCTTCCAGCCTGGAGGGACAGCAGGGAGTGTCCCCCCCCTGCAGAGCTGCTCCAGCCCTGGGAACAGCACAGGGAGCACATGGAGCTGCTGGAGAGAGCCCAGAGGAGGCACCAAGAGGATCCCAGGGCTGGAGCAGCTCTGCTGGGAGGAAAGGCTGGCACAGCTGGGATTGTTCAGCTGCACAAGAGAAGCTTTGGGGGGACCTGAGTGTGGCCTTGCAG